ATCTCAGCTGTGTCTCTCTTCGGACGGGTACACCCCCGGCCCACGATGGCCTCTAAGCATCTAGCTAACATTTGTTATGAGGGTAAACCTACCTCCAGTGGTGCTGGAACTAGGGGTGCTGCCACGCCCCTCAAGTTGATGTAATAATAACAAACACCAAATACATGGTTTCCATCAACAGCACCCCCCTCCCACTATAAAAATTGTTCCAGCCCCCACACCTACCTCCAGCAATCTACAGGAAGGAAAGTAACAGGGGAAACTGTGCTCTTTGCCTTTCGTAGTAGTGGGATGTGAAGGCTTTAAATAACCTCATGGATGGTTCCTGGGAACCACATGTGACATTCTACAGCTTGGGGGAACGTCCTGTAACCCCCATATTCCTCATTTTTATATAATCATGATCTTACATATAAAGCAGGCCTTGTAAGGTATCAGGGGAAAGGTTACGCTCTGCTGAAAGTCATTTCTCTATCCATATATGTATAGCATTACTGTACATGAAGTTATGAGAATTGTGTGCACGAAAACATGCTGTAAGTTGGGGAATCAGCCAGATAGTCGCTCCCCAGAGTCAACAGCAAGGAAAGTAACCAACACCCGGGCGGGTGTCAAACAACCATCAACAGCCATTGTCCAGCAAGGGAGCCACAATGCAATGACTCACCTGCATGAGGCCACACCAGGGGAACTGCTCAACCCTGCCTGGAGACTCAGCAATGCCCCCCAGACATGCCTGGACTTGTGCTCCCCAAGCACATGGGACGGAGGGTATAAAACGGAACCCAGTGACCATGTGCTGGGCCTTTCTCCCTCACCCACCTATGCTGCAAGCAACAAGGACACTCTGAAGACTCCAACTGAGGGGACTGGCCCAGATTTCAAGGGTGAAATCTGTGTCCTATGAACTGCAATATCCAGCGGGGTGAGAAAAACTGCTGAATCTAGATGTTGCCCAGTCTAATAGGGTCGAGCGTTTAGACTGTGGGCTTATATTTTATTTTGGTAACCAACTCTGGTAACTTTTGCCTTTCCTGCTGGAGTAGGAAGTTGTTCTGGGGCTCGGGGCTGACTGTACAGCTTATAGAAAGGGAAACACAGACTCTGTGCCCCGTCTCGATTTCATGCCAGCCCTTTAGGCCACTCTAGCAGCATAAAGTGGGCAGAAATGGCCACCCTTTGTAAACGTCCCATGGGCAGGGGGCCTCGCTAGCTGGCATAGAGGCCCCGCATCCCCCTGCTCCCAGAGTAGAGGGTAAATCAGGGGCATGACCAGAGTACATTGCACTACATCTCTTCCCACCTCCCCAGGAGGCTATAGGTTGCAGCATAAGTTAGAACAGCCTCAATGCTGCTCTAATTTACACCAAGGGCTGGGCACAGCCCTGAATGGCCCCAGAATAGAGGGAACACAACATTTCTTCTAACTTAGCTGCTGCAGGGTCTCTCCCTACAAGGCCTCCTCTGCTATGGAATGACTCTCACTTCTGGATATTTCTGAAGTAGAGGTCATGGGGCGCAACTGGGCCAGCCGGACAGGGCTCTAGCACCTGACTGACAGCGTTCCTGGCACTGCCCTAGGCACTGTGGTCGCAGCACTATGCCTCAGAGGACCTGAGGTAACGCATCACAGCGGATCTCGTGCTCTGCTGCTAGGGGACGGCCGTGGAGACCAACAACCCTGGCGGGGAGAGCAATGGGGAGTTGTGGGGGTGAAGAGAAGAAGCCACATACTATGAATCCCCATCCATCCAGCACTGCGAGGGTTAACACAGCATGCAGCACCAATCTCTCTGCTTTATCCCTGCAGCTGTCTCCTGCCTTATCTCCCTGCCAGAGCTCAGTTCCCTTCCTTGGTTTCTTGCAGCAGCCTCTTCTCATCGCCCTGGTGCAGGATGGTGACACTTCTTGTGAAAGAAACTTCCCCTTTGAAACCACAAGCCGGGGTGCCAAGAGCTACCCTGCAGGCCCACGGCCCAGAACCAAGAAACACCCGGGGGCCCCTCGTGGGGGCTAAGGATATACCTACATTACAACCAGGAGGTGTAACCATTGCACTTCTAGACATGTCTGAGCCGACGGTCGAGCCGTACCAGAACGCTCCGGCACTTCCCTGGCATCTTGCGATACTTCCAGTACTTGCATTCCAGCGCGGCTCAAGCCCTGCATCACCCCCTGATCTGAGCTAGCTCGGGCGTCACGGGGCCAGGAATGAAAGTTTGCATATGAGTTAGCAGGAGGGTCCGGGCCAGGCAGTGGGGGGCCAGCCAAGGCTGGGAACAGAGTGTGGCGGGAGATACCCAAAGGCTGGGAAGGGAGGGGAGCCAAGCTCGGGGGTAAAGCGAGGCATGGGACTTCTTGGAGCAGGGGGGGAGGAGGAGGAACCGGGCTGGGGATTGCTGGGGGG